GATTCGGTTTGCTGCCAACAGAATGGAGAATCGTGTCGTACGTTTTAGTCTGTATCTCCGGATTGCAGGTGTATACGAACGATTTCGCACGATGCTAGGCGAATGTACTGTGTACGATTTGAGCTCAAGTTGGTTGAGTTATGCGTAGTAAATCGTAGGTATTCTAATGCTGCGTTTACACTATCGATTTTTGTCAGCAAATCGTACCGATTTCAAGTGCATTCCAACACAATCGGCTGAAATTCGATTGTATTGGAGTCGGAGTCGGGCCGAGTTGGAGAAATAGAACACGTGCTATTTCTCCAACTCGGCGACTTGACTTCGACTCCGAATCCAACACAATCGAATTTCTTGGAATGCATTTTGATCAAGTCGGGGGCAAGTTGGAATGCACTTGAAATCGGGACGATTTGCTGACAAAAATCTATAGTGTAAACGCAGCTTAAGGCTAGTGAATGACGAATTTCCCATGTTTATTGAAGTCATGCACACCCCTTCCCTATTATCTACTTCTGATATATATATATATATATACTATGGGAACATTTTAATTCCATTATGTCAGAATTTTCAAAATTCCCACTAAGTGCCACTCTGGGAAGGATCTACCTTCGTTCAGCAATTCCCCAAATATCCTGGTGGATTATACACACTGCTCACCACTTATTGTACAGTTTTGACAGCCTAGCATTGAAACATAAACCATGTTGACTTGAGCCTAGTCTTTAGCATTAACAAGGTAAATCATACAAGTCTTGCTTTTAGTGTTACAATATATATCCTAAATAAACCTAATTATATAATAATGTAGAAATGTTGCATATTTTAAGGGATATATTTCTTGCATATATCTATTTTTACCTCAGCCAAGGGGTTGGCAAGAGGTTATGTTTTCACCGGCGTGTGTTTGTTCGTTTGAGTGTTTGTTCGTTTGTGGGTTTGTAACACCGTTCTTTGTGTACAGCCTAACTGAAAAAGTTATGGACAGATTGTCATAAAATTTTCAGGATAGGTCACAAATGGGCTAACTTAGAATTGATTAGATTTTAATGGTGATCCGGATTCAATTAATTAATTAATTAATTAATTAATACAATTTTCAGGATAGGTCAGAAATGGGGTAACTTAGAATTGATTACATTTTGGTGGTGATCCGGATCCCATTAATTAATTAAATTAATTTAATTAATTAATTAAATTTCAGGATAAGTCAGAAATGGGGTAACTTAGAATTGATTACATTTTTGGTGGTGATCAGGATCCAATCAATTATTTAATTTATTAATTTAATTAATTAAATTTTTCACAGTGACAGAATTCAGCTGCCTTGGCGGAGGTCTGCGCTCTCCGAGTGCTCTAGTTGTTGTATAGTTTCAGTTGGAGGTTAAAATTCATTATACCTTGCATCCATGGCCACACTAACACTAGAGTCATTCAATGTCAGTCGTGATACTGCACTCCGCAATGCTGGAAACTCACTCTGGTCGGTCGGATAAACACCGGCAAATACCTGAATATTTTAAACAAGCAAATAAAGAATTTAATACTCCCCCATAACAAAACGCCACCTCTATCATGCAGCGAGTTAGTCTAGACATTGCGTTCTACAAGAAACTTTTTTGGTTTTGATGTGAAAGTACAATAACGATCAAACGTGCCGGTCCCAACTACGTTACCATTGGCTTTGCAGGTTTGAATCCATGTAGTGCTTCCACAGGCTTTCCCTGTAAGAAGAAGGTGTCACCCACACATGCCTCACTCGCATTCTTCATGTTTACAATGATGAAGCCAATCTGTCCTGCATAGCTGTGGCGAAGACATACAGAAAATGATTAGAAACGAGCATGCAGCTATGTTAAACTCTTACAACATCGTACTATTAGACCATTGTTAGCAGCCACCCATTATAGAATGATCACATGTTCAGAGCAGCCATAAAAAACAGGATTGAAGCCCCTGCCAACAAGTAGGAAGCAATGGAGACATAGACAAAACAAAAAGAGCATGCCACTACTAAAAATACTGGGTGATAATAAACATTGTATGCTCTCCTGCTATCCCGATCTCCTGTTTCGGCTCCTTCTCTCTCCCTCTCACCCCCTTCTCTCTCTCTCTCTCCCTCGCTCTTTCTTTCTCTCTCTCTCTCTCTCTCTCTCTCTCTCTCTTCTCTCTCTCTCTCTCTCTCTCTCTCTCTCTCTCCCTCTCTCCCTCTGAGTCTCTCTCTCTCTCTCTTTCTCTCTCACTCTCTTTCTATCTCTCTCTTTTTCTCTCTTTCTCCCTCTTCTCTCTCTCTCTCTCTCTCTCTCTCTCTCTCGCCCTGTCCCTCTCTCTCTTTCTATCTCTCTCTGCCTCTCTTTCTCTCTCTGCTCTCTCTCTCTCTCTCTCTCTCTTTCTCTCTCGCTCTCTCTCTCTCTCTTTTTCTCTACTCTCTCTCTCTCTATCTCTCTCTCTCTCCTCTCTCTCTCTCTCTCTCTCTCTCTCTCTTCTCTCCCCTCTTTCTCGCTCTCTCTCCCTCTCTATGCATCTCTCTACTCCCACTCTTTCTCATAGCTGCCACACCTAACAGTGAATTAACCAGCTCCTCCTGGGACGCATGACTCAAGCTTCTGCCACCTCATAGTTCTTCTGTGTGAATGCGAAGGTCACGCGAATCGCCGACCTTGACCTGACCATCGAGGATCGCCGCGTTTGCTATCACGCCCTTGTAGCGGTCATAGGAGGAATCGAACACCAGGGCCTTCAGCGGTGAAAGCATGTCTGCCCTGGGGCTGCATTAGGGAACTACGCTGATATTGTGCAGCAGGCCCACTCATGTATTTAACTTGTATCACACACAATTAACATTCTTCATCATTCTGTTACTGATAAAACGTGCAAATAGACCTTTGATGTTAATCCGCTCCGCTCTATTATTGTTTCTTGTTGTTAGTGAAAGAAATCGTGTAAATTTATCGCAGATATGGTAAAACACAAGTAGACACATGAATTACATCCACATGTCCCAGAAACTACCCTATTCCTCTGTATGCCCTGTACTCGAGTCTCAGACCGTGAACATTTCATTTCAATAAAGATAAACATATACATATACATATACATACGGTGGGATCCTTTCGATAATTTCATGAAGCAGTTCTTCAACTCCCATGCCAAGTTTTGCTGAAACCTATAATAATAACAAATAGCTGGTTCAGATATGAGGACAATCACATCAATTCATCGCTTATTCCCAAAATTATTACAGATATTATATTGCAGCTTTGGCTTACAAATAACTCTTCTTTCATCTAAGTGTATCTTTAACCTAGTGTGACCTATCTGCCGGACATAATTGACAGTTAGCTCTACCCAATCGTTGCTATGATAGGATGTTCTAAAGACAAACCTTGACAGCAAAGTGCAAAACAGTCAACATTTTGGCATGCACACATGACAGATATAAACGAGAAACTCATCAAGCTTAACTGCCCTAGCTACAATATCAAAGGAGGGCAAGGTTATCTCACTTAGATGGATAGCTTAATTGTTTCGCAGCAAGATTTATCTCCCATATTTCATCAAATCAGAGATGACTCAAGCTGTGAGAATATAGGGTATATTGACACTATACTGCTATATGTATGTATATATGCCAGAAACCAGAAAATCGTAAAACAAGACAAGAGCCGCAGAGCGTCTGGGCTCGAATCTGAGGTCTGTTGCTACGGTTATAAACGTAACATTTAAGTTGTGCGTAGT